ATTTCAGTTGAATGCAATCAAGTCCGGTCAGTTATGAGATGACAATTTACAAAGAGAAAGAAAAAATGTCAACAACTGATACCAAAAAAAGAGCTTATCAGGTCGGACTACTAGGGTCAAGTTCAAAGTTCATTATTTACAGAGGGGTTGAGGTAGAGAATGTTATAAAAATCAAAATGCTCCAGTAAAGTGCAAAAACATTGATTTTGTACACACGGTATAGAGTACAGTACTGTAACTCTCAAGAAATTATGACATTAAGGATGCAGTCTTACCGGTCTTCTATGTTCTTCTTGAGCGTATTGACAACTATTTCATAGAAGAACATTGTAAAGTGTCTCAGAGCATGCCAGAGCCAGTACAAAACTCAGGCGCCTGTCTGAACAACAGCTCCAACCTGACAGAGAGAATCAAGACTCCGTTATTGTTCACAATACATTTCTCTTTTGTAAACAGATGTTGTTGTTTTTTAGTATAAGGATGTAAATCAACAAACACTACAACCATAACATAACCATGATATACAATGTGATTTGACTCAGTCTGAGATAGTCATCATGTTGTGTTCTAGGTGTATTCATTACCTCGTTATGCTCTGGAGTATGGCATAAAATGAAACCATGAGAGGTAGGAGCAGGTGGGATAAGATTCTCGCAGGAAGTCCAAACATGCTCAGATAGGTCACCATGTTGCTCAGCACAACTGAAATATAAATACAGACTACAGCAATTCTACCAAATACTTGTGTAAAATCTTTTTCTTTTGTGGGGAGGAAAGGAAGAAGGCATACTGTAAGTGTATACTGTGACATAGAAGCACATTTACGACACGTAGTACAGTCATTGCTTAAACTGATTGCTAGATCTATATCTACACATAATTTGAAAGACTTTGTGTGACAGACTTACCATGCTTCGAAATATCATAACGTTCAGCAGGTTTTTTAATTGGCTGATTTTGGGTTGATTCAGGCTCAGTAGGGCTGCCATTTGTAAGTCCAGTGTCTGTATAAGTGGTTAGTGTAATGGTCTCTTTTTCCTCCTTCACCTCCTCGTCTTGCTCCATGTTGTCATCCTGGTCCTTCTGGTCCTCCCCCTTTTTATCTTGGTTGTAGTAAAGTGGCCCATTTTGCGAAACTGTGTTTGAAATCGAATGATTGGCAAGATCTGCATGTGAGGAGGAGAAGACATGAAAGAAAAATGGATGAACATCTAGATTTTTTTCTCGAGCTCGTGATATGTTTTCTTGCAGACCCAGATTAACCCACTGTTGTTGAGAAGGTAGTTGAATGCATCTCTGTAACCGCTGTGAAAAGCTTCATCCAGAGTCTAAAGAGAGAGAAAAAACATTATGTAACATTATGCTGTAGGCAAGTGACCTTAATTTACACTGATTCATTCACAAGTGTATAGTAAACAGTCAATTTTTCTATACTCATTATACCATTTTTACCAGGTAGATTATATGAAAAATGTTAAGTGAGGAGCAGGTCTATTACTGATTACATGTAGCATTTACTATCCAACATAAAACTTTCAGATTATATTCAAAAGAAAGTAAAAGTAGCTTCTGATTGTGTTTTATTGAGTCACAACCATTTTCAAAAATAAATCCAAATTCCTTTACCGCATTTCTCATAACTTAAAAAAGTAAGCTACGGGATTCATTTTGACCAACCTAGGCAGTAGCAAACATAGCACACATACAGACTAAAAACAAAAGTCAAAGGGAGAAGAGGTCTGACCTCTAAGCCATGGGATACAGAGCATTGAGAATCCTGAAGCGTTCGCCATGTTTCCCTTCAAGGTGGTTCCACTCACGACCATGTCCCACATGGACGGAGCATCCGAGGGACAGATGTCCACATCTCCAGAGAATGGACACACCGTCAAGATTGAGTTGTAGGTTACAGGCAAAGTGGGCTGCATGCTCCTGAAACCTCCATCCACGTAATGCTGTGAGATAAGATCACATATTTAATCAAACAGACTGGGTTATGTGCCCAAGTTTATATTGTGAATAGACAACCAAATACCCACTACTCCTTTGTAGGACGGAGGCAGCAGACCACAGTATCCGGGCACAAAGCAGCTGCAGAGCAAAGCCTGAGGACATAGTGGGAATAAATGTCAATTTAACACGCAGGACAACATTTCTTATAAACATTAGGATTTGAACTCACCTGAACCACATCCTCTTTGGAATGGAACTCCGAAATGATGGTGAGTTTGCCGTCAGTCAGACGGGTCATGGCCACAGCGAGACGCCCATTAGCCAGTATGTGCGCATCAGAAGTGAGATATTTGTTCAAAACACTCTCTAACCATTTTAAAACATTGATTGAGGGGTTCAGTGGTCCAAATGTAAAAGACTTCATCTGTTTGGCAAAGTTCAGCACTTCTTCCCGAATAGTAACTGCAGAATAAAAAACAAATTGAGTCAGAAAAAAGTGTAATCCCATTCTAGTAGGTACAAACAACTGTCACTTACCTGGGTTCATTTCACAGACAACAGCAGCAGCTACTAGAGAGCCAGCCGAGGCTCCTAGGACACAAGGTGCTGTACGAAGGATCCAGGGTGCATAGTTATGAAAGCACTGGGTGACCCCTAACTGGTAGGTGGACAGGAATCCAGATCCAGAGAAGGAGATGGAAGGAGGACTTTCTAGACAATGACAACTGGAAATCCCTGGAGCCATTGTGAAAGTGTCAAACGCTCCTCTCCGTCTTTAGTAAGCAGCCGTGGTTCAAGCAGGCTGAGAGGAGTTATGAAGTGGACGTTTCACGAAGAGTGTTATTTAACTAGTGTCAATTAGACATGCCATATTGGCCATGCCCATGTGACATAGCTTATGCGCTCTAAATGACTTTTTCTTTTGCCCTATTCCAAAAAGCTTATATGATTTTCGGTTTTGTTGGCACCGGCTGTCTTCCATGTGACACTCCTAAATAAACAAGAAGACCCAGAATTTCATGAAGCTGAACAAATTAATCCAAAGTGTAAATCCACAAAGTATACACCAATAAAAGCAAACTTAAAAAGGCTTTTCTCAGATGGTCTAAGCTCCAGAAGTGTTTTGTCAGGATTTAAAAGTAACAATTCAGGGAATTCGAGGTAAACACTCTGGTTATAAAATTACACAAACACACAGATCTTTGAATTGTAATGCTGACACTTGCAAAAATGTTTGACTGCATCTTTTGTTAAACTTTCATATTGTTATGTTAGAGTTTGTCCCTCAAACTAGCCGAGGAAAGAAACATCTTCACTCTGACTAGTTTAATATAAAATATACCTAAAACAAGTTTAGGCTTCTTTGGGATATTTCTCTTGGAAATGTCCAAAACAGACTAACAAACATGTGGCCTGCTCTTCCACAGAAATATATCGGGTTTTTTTATCAAGCTAGTTTCTTTATACCTTTTTTCCATTATGTGTGTCCTTACAATCTATGGACAAAGTCAGCTGACTGTACAATTTTAGTCTCAGGGTTTCCGTTGTCTATGGCAAAGCTCCCAGACTTTGCCCTGCCAAGGACCCCCTTATAGAATCAGCCTCTTTTGGGGACCCCCCTCTTGCAAAATGTCTTCATTCCATATTATAATGGCAAATCTCCAAATTAAACATGTCTTTAAAATAATTGTATTATGTGTCTTTTCCAGTTTTGATGGCTTTAAAGACTTGTAGGTGAGGATCTCGAGGCAGAGAACACATCTGGGCACATCAGGACCATTCTTAACAGTAAAGTAATATATCTTTATACAGTACAGTATGCTGGCTCATACAGATGAGTTTTAGATACCCAGGTTTTAATATGTAGTTGTAGCTCTTTTGCAGCTCACGTCAGTCTGGTCGCCTGTGGTCTTCTGCTTTTGAGAAATGTTTCTATTTCAACAGCAGTTAGCTAGCTTGTTTTCACTGGCACTGCAACTTTGGGATCTATCAGTGTCTCTTAAAAAAAGCTGCTCGAGTCAGATGGTTAGAGTGGTGTGTGTTCAATTGAAAGATTGTAGGAAAAGAACCATTTCGATATGCAGGTTTTAATAACTTCGAAAAAGATATACATGTTAATGTCACAAATTGTTTTTTAGTTTCATTTGTTCCTTTCCCCCCAGTGTTGCCCTTGAGGCATAATATGGTTGGACTTTTATTTTGTTATTTTGAAGAGTCTTTTATTTTGACGTTTGTTGGTCATGCTTAGAGACCTATGCCCCTTCTTGTTAGCTATTTTTGAGGAAGCCTGCTCAATGTTTTATTTTTATAAAAGCCTGCTGAATGGGACCACATGCATCACATGCAATCCATACTGTAGACACCACAGAGGCAATGTTGTGAGTAAATTAATAAATATTTAATATTAACACTTATAAGTTCACGTTAAAAACACAATTTACATATAAAGCATTGCATTTGTTGTGATTAAAATACATTTATTTACATTTATTTACACAGCAAAAAAAACACCATGCTGTCATCAAAAAGGTTCAAATATTGTATTTTGTGTGTTACAGTTTTACTTTGTCTTTGTATGTAGATGAGAAGAGCCACAGTAAACAAGTTAACTACAACTCAAGTCATCATTTTGCAAAGAATAGTATAGCTGGATTGATAGCCGCAGCTCCTACGCTGTAGTGAAGTCAACATAACCCCGTCATTCCTCCAAGTTTCCATGAACCCCCAGCAACCCCTGATAACCTTCCCTTGGGGTCAGGACCCCCACTTTAAAAAAGGACTGGTCTACGTCACAAGGCTTTTTCTCAGCAGCTGACACCCTGGTTACCATGATACCACAGCGCCCTCTGCTGGTTTAACTGCCAGCTTTGCTTGAGGCAAATGGATTCATGCAAAATGTGTTTGTCTGGAAGGTTGCTTATATTTTGTAAACTTGCTAATGCTCTGGGTTACTGTCAATACTGAGCATATCTGCAATACAACAATATTGTTGTAGTAACTTGTCTAACACTGCACCTAAAAATCGAATGAATTTAAATATATCTGTCTGACGTAAAAATATATGTTTATTTGACAAAGCAAAAAAAAACATTGACAATCAACACAGAACTTTACAGAATACCTCACCTTGAAGTTATTTTTAAAAGCAATTTTGACATATAGTGTACGATGTGTACAAACTGGCAATAAGCCTGCATCAATATACTTTTGTGAAAACATGAGAAATCACAAAACCAACTGAAACAATGTCACAGTAATCCCCAACACATGTGCAGGGCTTCTTATAAAGTCCTGTTTATATGTCAATAAGTGCATCTATTGCATTTGAATGATGTTAGCAAGCCAGAGATATGTAAGTTCTGATGATTATTTGGTTTTCCCATTAAATTAGTGTTCGTTATGATCAGTAATACACTTCGCAGTACTACGCAGTAATCCACACTTAAATTCACAGCAAACTGATTCCCAAAATTACGGTCAAACTGCAAACAATCTTTGCCTAATTATGTTATCATTTGTCTTGTTGGACGGCTTTTAAGGACATCTAGTGCAGTTTATTCTATGGAGGAGGCTGTGGAGAAGCACGATCAGGAGAAACCTCAAAATAGTCCTCGCTAGTCTTGTATGTAGGACTGCTGTCGGGAAATAATTTGTCATGAGGTGAAGTGCATTCTGGGAATTCTGCATGGTCCACCTGTGGTTTCTTCAAGTCCAGTGGGAGTTTCAGAAACCTGAGAGAAAAGAGTAATGATGATAAATGTGTGTTGGAAAAGACGGGAAGAGAATAACGTGAGTGAAAAGGACAGAGACCTGAAGAGGAGTTTCTGTCCTCGCTCCTTTTTAATGATGTTCAGCTTGTAGTAGTGACGGAGCGCACGGGACATTTTCTCATATGTCATATTGTCTCTGTTCTGTAAAAGGTACGACATCATTATTACTCTGATCCTATCTCCTTTGTACTTAATTCTTTTGCTCTCAATCTGTGTACGCCTGCTCACCTTGTGGTTTCCCCAGAGACGTGCCAGTCCGTTAGGGTCAACCACCCTGAACACATGGCTGTCCCGGTCTTCCCATCGGATGTATTCCTGGTACCGGTCGTCACACAGCAGCTGATACACATAGTCCCAAAGCAGTCTGCACTCTGGCAAATAGCAAAAAGGACACATGTTGACAAAACTTTTATGTCTATCAACATTTTGTCCATAGAAGAAACAGTACTGATAATGTATTAAAGGCTCTATGAAGTATCCAGAATATAATACAATAAATCTAAATACTTTCAAATACAACAACACAATGTAAAAGCCTTGTATAATCATGTGTATGCTAAACGATGCTTGACACTAAAAAATAAATAAAACATTTTCTATTGTTTATTACCCATTGCTTAGCCTCACAGACAAACCGGAGTGACATAGAGAACAGCAGAAGTAATAATGTGGCTGAAAGAAAATATTTCCGAAAGCCAAACGTGTATTTTTCAAAGCCTGGGGCTGTAGAGTGACTGAGTGAGTGATAATTGATTATTATTGAAAAGATATAAACACAACTTGATAAGCTAATTGCTTTCCAAGTTTTTCTGCCCCCTAGTGGTCTGATTTGCATGATACAGTTTTAGGAGTGACTATTTAACATATCCATGCATCCCCTCCAGAAAAAAGCCCCACATTTGTTAGTGTATACTTTCAGAGAAAATACTGCTGTGAAACTGTTGATTGTTAATCTAACGTCACCTGGGATGCGGCCATTGGCTTTGTGCAGTGAACTCTTAGTTTTCTCTCGGCTGGACAGGTTGAGAGGCTCATTTATGATGCTCTCTGCTTGTTTAGGACACTGAACTTGGTTGTGGGCCAACGCAAAGACAGCAGTTGATCCACCTAAGACAACAAAGAGGGATGAATTCAAAGACAGAGGGACAGAAAATCAGGCATCACAAAAACCGACAATGGGGCAATAAATGTATGTTTCTGTTTGGCACACTAACTCATTTCTGTGAGTGGAGAAGGGTAGATAATCAAGGGGCGATCTCTGGGAGGGGACACGGGCTCTGGCGTGTGGGTCACACTGGTTACAACAGCCGCCGACACTGCAGTTGTGAAGGCAAGGGAAACTACAGGAGAGACATATGAGGAACAAAGAGTAAACCGAAAGCAAAAGTGATTTTACAGCAACTCGAAGATATTCCTTTTTATTGGTTATACTATAACTATAAACAAATGCAACGTATAACACATAGAGGCAACGTTACTACTTTACTTTTATAGAGTATTCAGAACCAAGTTAATGTTTTGGACTTTGGAGTTGTAAGACCGTTGGTTTTCAAGTAATCAAGGCACACCCACTGGCACACATCCTACTTTCTACTATGGCAGGAGCAATGAAGTTTTTATTCAGGCTTCAGATAAAAAGAAGCAGAGAAACAACTAGTACTCAATACTAGGGAACTGTTTAAGACACTTTATATTAATTTAGACCTTAAATGAAAAAAAAAACTCCAATATCTATTTGATGAGTGCAGCTGTGAATAATGTTTTTACATACACAACATGTAAAACATGGTGGGTTGATTGTAAACTACATATCAGCCTAGGCTATATGATGTAGTGAGACCATTCAATCAGTCAATAAGCTTTCTTCTGTTTTATTCACATTTCTGAATGCAGGACTTTCACAAGTCATAAACTGTTGTTACTTCCTTATCTCCTGGTCCTCACATGTAAGGAGAAAGTAAAGGTTATTTTTTTATTATTTTTGATTAGCTAGGGTCAGACATGCATCAGTCATGGTTAAACTTAAGAGTTAGGGAAAAAGCAGCCAATAAACGTCTTCGCAGATACAGTGAAAAAAACAAAATGAGGTAAGAACACAAATTCCTGAGAGATGTGTTTGCACATGTACATGTGGATAATCAGGATGTGCCTGCAACAAATCTAACCAGGAAAAGCTCTGTTTTATTTGCTACGCAATAAACTCAACCAACTGTGTGTGTACACAGTGCATGCACATGTGTGTCTTAAGCACTGGCATTCACTCTTGCACTATCTGCACCTCTACCATGTGCACATAGCATGTCAAATCTGAACTTGCTTTCAGTAGATCATTGTCTCGATCCTTGCTGTACTGAATGCATTATGCTTTGTTTTTGGCGCTGTAGAAATAATGATTGATTGAGTCTGGGAGAGAGTCAAATCCTCAAGATAAAACTGATTCTATCTGTTTCTGTATGTGTCTGAAGTAACGTGTCATTATTACTAACCTGGGATGTCACAGACTGTGTGAGGCTGCAGCTCTTTTACAGTTTGACTGGGTATGGGATTTCTGACCGGGCACTGGACCTGGATGTGTCCAGTTGACAGGGAGGGAGATGTGGTCAGGGGTTCAAAGACAACATTCCTCCTTTGCTGTTTTACGCACTGGAGGATTTCATATAGAACATCACCTGTACAGGAAAGGGGCCACAAATGAAAATGCGGGATCAAAAACCAGTCATGACACTGAGTTTCTGCATGCACACAAATTTCTACCTGAGCTGGGACAGCGTCGTCTGAAGTCTTCTTTGGTGAGAAGGCATAGAGCTCGACCATTCATCTCGAAACGTCCTTTTTCAGGCCTTCGCAGTGAGTATTCCTTCTGAGCCCAGTGGAGCCAGTGTGCAACATCCTCCTTATCCCACAAAGATGGGTTTATTCCTAGAAAACAGTTGTAGATCATTCAAAAACATACGTTTACTGTGGTATTTATGATCTGTAGTATTTGCATCTTTGTTGTTACTTCCAGGTAAGCAAAGTCTTTATCAAAGAGAGAAGAGACTTACGTAGCTGTCCAGGTAGATGCCACAGGTCCTCCTGGGTGGGAGGACTGACAAGAGGAAGCTGGTTTGGGGAAGAACGAAGCACACTGGGAGACATGTTGACTTGCTCTACATGCATTTTAGTTGCGGGACTGTTTGCTCTGATTTCTTGCTGCAAAACATCGACAAGCAGTCAACACACTTCATGCCAAATTGAAAAAAGAAAAACAAACAAACAGTGCAGAGATTTTAAAAACTACCAATAAGATAATAAACCTTAAAAATGATCGTGTGCGCCCTCTTTGCTTTTAATTGTCCAAGTCTATTCTAAAGAAGACTTAACTTACCTTAACCACAAGTGACGAGGAAGTATTTTCCATGGGGACGTTCTTTACTTGTTTAATCACATGAGTAACCTGGATGATTTCCTTGTAATCCGATGGCCAATAAATGAAATAAACTGCAGGTCAAACCTCTGCGAACTCCATTTAAATAAGCTACAGAACTTTAAGTATAACCTTCGAAGAAATATAAGTTCACTACTTTCACATTCGACCTTTCCGGGAAATGAAAACGAAAGAAATATAATCCTTGCAGGAGGTGTGGGCGAAACAGGCTGATTGGAGGAAGCAACCTTAAAAATAAAAGTCTCCCTGCACAAGAGCGCAGTCCAGCGGCATGTTAATAGGCGCGTTGCATAAATGATCAAACATAGCCTACGGGAAAACTGTTGTGATTTTTTTTCCACACATTCGCAATATAAACAATTCAATGCAGAAAGCATTCGGAAGCTAGTTATTCAAAGCATTGGTAAAGAAAAAAAGCGCACGAAAGACAACAAATGAGCCGCGCATGCACCTTGAAGTAGTTCTCGTAGCTCCTCCCCTTTAACTCACTTTACAGGAAGACCAAACACAAACGACAAGACTACACACAGTGCGAGGTAAGAAGTTTATCCAGGAGACGTAAAGTTTTGGCTTGTAGTTCACTGAATACAGCAAGCAGGCTACTATTCAGCAGGCTGTAAACATGTAATGCAGCCTGCTTTAGGCTACAACCGATAACCTGACAGTAGACCTATAGATTATAACCCGGTAAATGATTATGAGCATTATATTTCTAATAGCCTACTTACAGGTACTCGCCGTGCACACTGTTGCCTTCTTACTGTACAAAATAATTGCAATTTCAAAACTCTTTACCGATTGCAAACTTTGGAGTGCAAAAATGCAACGTTTGTTTCTTTTTTTCAGATCTATAGGCTAGGTAGAGTAGTAATTCTAATTATATTTAATATCTAAATATTATATATAAATCTATATAGTGTGAAATGTTATGTTTGATATTTTTAGTTGTATACCTACAAGAACTACTGGCATGTAACCACGACCAGAAACAAGAAACTCAGCACTCTGCTCACTGCTAAAAAAAAAAAAAAAACGTGTGCATTGTCTTCTATCACAAATCCAATGAGATGTCTTTTTTCCCCTCATTCTCTGCAGTGATGTGGGCTGAAAAACTGGGGAAGCAGTTGGGCAACCCGACACGATCAGTGGCAGGTTATCTGGTCAGCAGGTTTCTCGCAGTGCGTAACCGTCTCCTGGAGGAGAATGCTGTACGGCTGAGCGGGATCAAACCTGGGGACACAGTGCTCGAGCTGGGGCACGGCCCAGGACTCGGTCTGCAATCAGCAGCCAAACTCCTCACAGAGCCCTCAGGCCGCCTTATAGGGGTGGATTACTCAGAGTATATGCATAAGGTGACTAATACTAAGAGAATGGGATAAGTTGGAAATTCAATTGTAACAAAACCAGTGACTTAACATTTTTGATATTATAATTGTATAATATTAGTCTCTCTGGAGGGTCATTGATTCAGAAAAAGTGAATAAATAATTAGGAAACAGATGGACAAAAGGTGAGAACACCTTTCTACTCAGCAGCAGCAGCAACAGCATTATTAGGTGGTTGCATTACTTGCTTTGGAATATTATTTTCCTATTTCTCTTCTCTCACAGATGGCAAGTGATCAGATGAAGGAACTTGTGGCGAGTGGGAAAGTGACCCTTCACCACTGCGATGTAGCAGCAATGCCTCTGCCAGACAGCTCTGTGGATAAAGTCTTTCACTGTAACTGCTACTACTTCTGGCCTGACCTCAGGAAAGCAGCGGCAGAGATATGCCGGGTAATGAAACCAGGTAAGGTACAAGGTTGTTTCTTTCTGTAAGTAAGACAAACTTTATTTTTAGTGCACATTTTGTCATCCAGTAGAAAAAAAAACTTTTTGTAAACTGACTTTTAAATTTGAACTTTTCTTCTTCTTTTCACTCTCTTAGAAAAACACTGTGTTAAAACAATTATTGGGTACACAAGTCATTCTTTTTTTCTCTCTTGAACCACACTAGGAGGCCTAATGGTGACCACACTGAGGCTCTCCATGGTGGCTACTATGGCAGCAAAGCGAGTGATGCCAGGTGAGAACTGGCGCCCGCAGAACTACATGGCTGCTCTCAGAGACGCTGGCTTCACTGATGTCAGAATGGAAGATAGACAGCACAAACACATTACTTTTCAGGTTATCTATGCCACTGCCTTAAAATGTCATGGAAATCAAATTAGAATTTAGAAACTGTATAGCCGTTTTCACATATGCACTCTGGATAATATCTAGATATTTACAGGAGGACTTTTCCGGAGATTCTCCTGAACTATATGTGTAATCCAATGGAATGACAACATACTGACGAACAGAAAACAGAATGCAGCCGTTTAATTACGTGCACGGAGATCGTAGTGGTCGCTTGCAGACACTTTAGCCGGTCACTATATAAACGTCATTCTCTTTCCATTGGCTCAAATTGAAAATCTCGGAGTATATTCGGCCGCGTTCAGACATCAGCTCACTCGGATATTCTGCGGATAAAGTACTAGGGGTCTGGCCAGAGAAACTCTGGGTAAAGTCCGCGCGAAAAATGCGGCTGTTTGCGTTCACACATAGCCTAAAGACCCTCCGGGTAGCCAAATCTCCGGAGTTTTTCATGAGATTTCCGTATGTGTGAAAAGGGTTTATGTGTTCTATACCGTTTCTGTGATTGTAAGGACTACATTTATATGGACTGTATGGAAATGTTGTAATTTCTGATAATAAAAACAAATACCTGATCAGAAATGTTACTCTGCTGACCTTTTGGTACCAAGTTCATCAAGTTGAGCGTTTGAAATATAACAATGTTTTGATTTCTTGTTATGAAAAACAAATGCCTGATCTTTGAAGCTCTTCACTCTTTAAATAGGGAATGCTGTCACTTCATGTTGTAAGAATGCTGACCTGATCAGATATTTCTGAAAATACTGACTGAATACTGACTTTGTCTGGCTCTTGAGTAAAAAAACATTAAAAAAAATACAATTCTGAGATTAGATTAAAGTTGTAATTTTACGTGCATAAAGTCGTAATAACCAGGCAATGATTTCTATGGCCATTTAAAAAAGGTTTCATTCAGATGGTTTATTTTGATTATCTGTTGCGTGTATGCTCTTATTGGGTTATTGTAATTGTGACAGTTAAAAAAAATATTAATATCTTGAGCATCATTTATACTGAGTTACATGAAACATGGGTTTCTTTTGAACAATTCTAATTCTGGTATATGGCTGCTGTGGGCATTGTGGAGTCCTTGACTCAGTGTTACACATTCTCATGCAGTGTCCACTTTATTCTGGAGCAAGGAGGGAGTTATTCATTGCACTTTCAAAAATTGGCGTTAAGACCTTCTCTCTGAGAAAAATGTTAGGAAGTGAAGACTTGCAAAGAGAGAGAGCTAAGGCAGTACTTTGCTTCCTAAAAAACACAGGTCTACATCCTAGGATATAGATCTGATAGTGGATCGATCACAGTCATCACACCGGTGGGTGGCAGCAATGCACAAGTGTGCCTAGTCTGCCGGGGGAACAAAAAACGAGAAGAAGAAGAAGCTATCGACGCTAGGTGGCGGTAGGCGACTGTCCGACTTGATAGAAGACGCGTTTCAAACCGTAGAAGAAGAAGTTAAACTCTGGCGGTTTGATGAAGCGAGGGAAAAGTGCAAACTAATCTCAAACCATTCTTTCGGACGCTCCTGTGGACCTTTTCATTGTGGATTTTAAGATCAACAGCGGGTTTGGAGTTGAAGACGTTTGTTAAAGTAAGAGAAAAGTAAGTGATTGTGGTTCTTTATCGAACACTAATGCTTCATTTTTTACTACAATGTTGTTATTGGACACTACACATACAACTCATGGCCTACTGACATTATTAAGCTTTAATGGATATTCACTGTTATGTCAGTATAAATTACACCAGCTCACTCCTTACTTCCAGGCGTCTCATCGCTTGACAGGATGCAGAGGGCTTCCCGTTTGAAGCGTGAACTTCAGATGCTCAGCACCGAGCCCCCTCCCGGGATAACATGCTGGCACACCGAGGAACAGATAGACGACCTTCGGGCACGTAAGTATTCTTGGCTTTTCTTTTCAGCTTTCAAAGTATATCAATTATCTGCATTTTTTTTTCTTCCCCCAGAGAGAATCTATGACATGTATGTTGTGCTCCGTGTTTGTTGAACCTACCTTCATGTTTGTTTCCCTATCACCTTTTGGTTTACAGAGATTGTGGGTGGGACAGACACTCCATATGAAGGTGGACTCTTCTCCTTGGAGATCAAGGTCCCAGAGAGGTACATTTTCTCAAAAGTTAAATAGTGAACTTTTAGTCCCCCCCCCCATCATGATAACTTTCTGCTGTCATGTATAAGTGATGTGCTCTGTTTTCCTCTCATAGGTACCCGTTTGAGCCACCCAAAATTAGATTTCTGACCCCAATCTATCATCCAAACATTGACAATTCAGGCAGAATCTGTCATGATGCTCTAAAACTCCCTCCAAAGGTTGAAACATATTCTAATTGAATTAACATTGCTCTGTTACTCCTACTGTTTGGTTTTGTTTCTCTAATGTGAAATAACTGAGAAAATAACTGTAACGTGTGTTTTGAATGTATATTAATTAATTGTATTTCTTCTATGTATGCAGGGTGCCTGGAAGCCATCCCTTAACATCTCCACTGTCCTTACCTCCATTCAGCTTCTCATGGCTGAGCCCAATCCAGATGATCCACTCATGGCTGATATTGTGAGTCAGACAGTCTTCATAATTATCATAGTTTGTGTTAGGATCACAAAACTTTTAAAAAGGAAACACAATGTGGTAGGAAATATGGATGTTTATTCTTTCTCTTTTGGACGTTGGAATGATTGTGAGGTAAATAACTAAGCCTGAAGTGTGCACCAGAGAAGAAATTAAATGCACTCTTCAGATTCTGTTTTTCATAATGTTTTATTAATGCCAGAGTAACTGGTGTAGGCGTCCATTTGACACAACCTTTCATTTTGTTAAAAAGAAATCCCCGCCTCTTGCAATCTTAAAATTGCATTAGAGAGAATGTTAATTGTGATGCTGTGATCAATCAATAACTCTACTGCACTGTTCTATAAAGAGATGCTTATATAAGGTATTTTGAATGTAGTCATCAGAATTCAAATACAACAAGCAGCTGTTCATGGAGAAAGCCCAGAAGTGGACGCAAGAACATGCAGTTCAGAAGAATATGGTAAGTGGCTGTTGGAGTGTAACAGCTGTTGTTGTTTTCCTCCTAAACCTCTATGGTTTCCATGTGTGACCTTACTGACCGGCCTTCCAAAGTAGACTCCATTGCTATTATTATTTGTAAGTTCTTTTTTTTTTTTTCTTTTTTTTTTACATTTACAGTATTTGAAGTAGCAGTAGTATACTTTTTGTAATAGCAGAAGTATTGTGCTCGGCTCTACAGTAAATCATTTTGTTTGTCTTTGTATTAACTTTGTTTAGTGATAAAGTTTGGCCACAAGGTGGTGCTATGCCCTTCAATAGAATTGTGTCTACTAATGTGATATCAGTTTGCAACAAGGTGAGGAGGACTGTTTGAGTCTCACCAAAAATGTGTCCTTGACATTTCAAACATTTGGATGTGAGTAGCATTGATAAGCAATGTTTTTTGGCATCAAGTAACCTTCTAAAGTAGTTTGAATCTGTCTGTGTTCAGGGAGTTGTGGATGGCAACAAAGAAAATAATCCAGATCAAAAAGCTTCATTCCGCAAAAGAGAGGCACAGCAGGAGGCAGAGGAGCCAGCAAAGAGGACCTGTCTGTAGTTTGTGTTTCACTTCACACCTCAAGTGTCTCCATTCTGTACTACCTTTCCGTTACACCGTTCTAATGTAAAGAATGACATTAAAATCCTCCTAGCATCCATATACTCTGCATATATTCCTATTCCTAAACCAAACATTGAGACATATTTATTGTTGTGTATGATTGTGTGATGATATTAAAGTTTCTTCTGTGTGTCACATACAATGTCTTACTTTGTTTTTGTTGCAATGTTGTGTCACACTAGCAGTATAAGAAAAGTGATGTACTGTATCCATTAGGAAGATAATCATTTTATTCAAATATATGCTTACCAGTTGTATACAAAGTATTTACATCCTAAATAGCAAGTTTTTTTTTTTACAAACTAAAGATTTATTTCTTAATATATAAAATTATATATTTGCTGTGTATCATATAAAAAAAGGACACCATCATAGGGCTTTAGTGGGTCAATACCATGCTAGTTCAGAGGTAGTTACATTGTATGTACATATTGCTAGCCTACTTTAATGTCTGTAGAAAGATAGCTACACCAAATTCAGTCTGTATCTGCTTCTTTGAGACAAAACAACCTGACAAACCATATGAAACTATGTGCAATATGTTTTGTTTTGCATTTCCGCTACAACAAAATAAAACACATTTAATACCAGCTTTAACTCAGTTGGAAGAATATGACATTTCTGTGAATGGAGAATGTTAGCTTACTCTGGCCAGATGTCCTGGTGTGTGATTATCTTCTTTGAAACAGACATTTGCAATAGGATAGCACTCATATTTAAAAAATAGATAACTCCACTTAAAATATAACCAAACATTTTGTAACCACTAAGCTGCAAGTCTCATGATCACATTCCAGTATAAACAATTACATTTAATATTATGTGTTCTACCTAAATACCCCCTTGCTACACAATTGATTTGTCCGATGCGTAGATTTCCAGGTGGTAAACAACCTTTATTTAAGCTTTCTTATTGTCATGCAAGTCTCTGACTGAGGCAGTCCATTTAGTAGTTTCTAAAATGTTCCTTGATTTTTATGTCATGTTGGTCAGTGGTGTTTCCTTTTACTGTCTCTATCATGAAGGGAACTTTTTGTTACTCTCCGTTTTCATAGGCACTTTGTAGAGTCTAGTCTCTAGAGTACTCCGAAGTCTCTGTATCGTCTCATTCTGAGGTGCTTGAGGATTGATGACCCAGAGCTGGTCTTGCTGCTGCTGAACAATGATGAGTCCTTGAGTGTCCACAGTGTCCCAGCAATTCAGACAGCTAGCTTAAAGGTTCATGGATGTGAGTTGAGTGAGGGAATCATGGAAGAGTGATAGAGCAGGCAAGTGTTATGATTCACCTCTTGATCCAAACTCTTCTGACAATCATTGTTGCTTAAACTCCCTCGTTCTGCCACCCTGTCTCTATCTCTGGCAGTTGGAGTAGGTATCTGGCAAGGGATAAGGGGAACAGAAGACGTAGAGGAGCAATGGGAAAACCTTATTGGATCCACTTGGGATTGCAAAGGGGTCCCCCCACTGTATAGGATGTCAGCATCAGCAAGTGACACCTGTGTTGACGAATCAGAGCAGGAGCTCTTCTCTGTCTCCACAGAAACAAGTGAGTCCAGGGTTGGATCCCGGCGTAGCTGTGGACGTGCTTTAGGGTGAGGCCAGAAGAAAAACTGGGAGTGGTCCCTTGTGAAAAGGAGGAATAGTAGGGGGTTGAGGCAAGCAGGCAGGGGCTGAAGAAGCAGGAGAACTGATTTTAGCACCTCCTCCCCCAGAGAAAGGAGACCCAGGAGGGAGCAGAGGGAGAGGAAAGCTACCGGTACATAGAGCAGTCCATTGGTGAATATTAGCCATGCAATATGTTTGATCATAGCACAGTCCCACAGACCCTCACACTCTCCCCTAAGTAACTCCCAGTAAAGGCGGATGTAGGAACCTGTGACTATGAGCAAGCACAAAGTGTTCATCATAATGAGCGCCAATGGAAAGCCCAAAGAGGATGGGAGTTGAGAAGGTGAGGGTGGCAGGGGTGATGGGAGACAAAAAGGTGAGGACCCATACTCCCCAACGCCTACTAGTGGTAGAGAAGCAAGGCTGAGGGAGAGAGCGAGGCAGAAAAGTGCACATGTGCGTACACTCCCAAGGGATGGAGACTTCCCGTAGGCACGAGCACATGTCACACTCACGCCACACTGCACAGCTGCCAGAGTCAACAGCAACACACTTGCCTCAGATGCAAACACCCAAACCCAACCTGTAGCCTGACAACCAGGACCCCCCTCCCAACGGGCACCGTGGTGACCAAACTCCCCCAGGGTTAGCGAGTCTACAAGAGCTAGGGTGCATGTACAAACACCCGTCAACAGGTTGGAAGCACCCATGCACGCCACGGTGAAGCGGAGCGGTGACAAGTATCCGGGTGAGCCAAAGAGGGACAGTAGCAGGAGGGAATTCCCCAGAAGAGACACCAAGGAGATGGACCACAAGCCCACTCGAACCAGCCAGCTGCCCAACAGTGAGTCGCAGGGACGGAAAGGACCTGAAAAAATAGAAATCATCAACTATGGATAAGAAGAAATTTAGGTTTGAAATAATGGCTCCTCCTCTACAATCCTCTTAATAAGTACTAAACCATAATCACTTAAGATGTAACTTTGACTACCTGGTGATGGTGTGCATTGAACACTGGCTTGCAGTTTGGATTCCTCTATTTCGAGTTGGAACTCCTCCAGGTCAGGGTCATCTGGAATAAACCATTGTCAGGGTAAAACATTTGAGGTTCATTACCTGTGGTAATGTGTTTTACCAGTCCTGTCTAATTTGAGAAGGATTCTAACTAAAGCTTACTTTGAATGGATACATTGTATACAGTATTTGCACAGAACAGTATATGGGCCATTCTACTGAATTGGTTCAAAGTCAGGTTGGAAATATTTTGCTTTTTTTTTTAGTTTTATTCCCTAAATTTTTTCCCTATATATATATATTGTACCATATCTGAAGTACACATATCTAGCAAAAGAACCGTCAAATTTGATATTGTATTTTTAGTTTGTTTTGCAATGTATTTCCTCTCCCCAAATTTGTCACTACGGAAACATATTAAACTATGATAAAAACAATATTATGTTAACCTGTTAGTATTATGTTTACTTCCCTTATGCAAAGATTATTTTTTACAAATTTTTATTGAAGGTTTTCACAATAAAATCAACAAATTTCAAATTTCTATTTTTAAAATTCTTGAAAACCTATGTGCAATCTTCCAGTGTTTCGGTAGTGACCAGTATTTTCTTTGTAGTGTTTTATCATATTACCTCAACCTTATTGCTTAATTTAAACTCATAACATGTCTGATGTTGGGAATATTACAAGCACGTTTGTTTAGTGGTCAATAAAATAATTTATTTTTGAAGAAAAATGTTATCCATGACCATATAGTACAAATATTACTTATCAATTTCTTATTTGCTGTAAATAGATGATTGAAATGATGATACTTATAGAAACTCAATGATGAGATTTCACTACTTACCATTCCATTTTGTCACTGCCGAAATGATAATGTCACTACCGAACTTGACCATATGATTCTCTAGTGACTGTTTCAGTAGTGACAATTCTAGCTAATTTTGAGCATAATTAAAGAATGTTAGCAAGCAAATGGAAAGCAAACACCTCTTTGAAGAGGTGTACACCCATAGAAACATAATAATTTGCATAAAACCCCAAAACGTTTACATAATTGAAGAGAATGTGTGTTCGGTAGTGAACATTTTTGAAGTTACACACTGATTTTCAGACTTTGGGAACACATTTATTTAAAAATTATGGGATTTAGCTGCTTATCATTCAGCCAGGGGGGACAGGGATGCAATGTCACTTCCTGGTCAAAAATTCAGGGTGTGGCTTAAATCTATGCTCAGTCAAGCCACTAGAGCTCTTGTGTTTCGGTAGTGACATGAAAACAAGGGACATGATTTTTTTGAGCATAGTTTTTTAATTTAAAAATTAAACCCACAATAAATCTAAGTCTTTCAACCTTTGTTTAAACTTAATCATAAAGATCTTTTAAATTACACAGTTGAAACAAATCAAAAAAATGTTTTAAGTGGTATTAATAAATTGAAATTTAGGGGTCAGGATTGGGGACAGCTACTTCTTAAAGAGCCCATATTATGCCCTTTTTGGGGTTCCTATATTTAATCTATGTACCTACTTTTGTATGTTCACAATAGCTAAAGTCCGAAAAAAGTGTCTGTTTTCATGTACTGCTCCTCCTTGCTCCCTCTCCTCTCCGAGTCCATCAGCTACGCTCTGCTGAGCCCCCACTGTTAGACCCCACGTGGGCCAAGTCTGCTCTGATTGGTCTGCCGATCCGCTCTGTCGTTATTGGTCAGTTGCTCAGCACAGTTCTCGGAAATGTCGAGGGGGGCTAGAACCGAGCGTTACATGCGACTAATGCTACAGCTAACAGGAGGAGGTAGGAGAAGCCGCTTTTCTGCGGACTTTGAATTTTTGCAATACATGTACAGGAAAACACACTAAAGAGCATATAAAACCAGAAAAAGCATAATATGGGACCTTTAATAGAAAGTACCCTATAAATGATATTTTTATTTATTTATTTAGCTTATGACTATCTCATTTAATGCCCTGGGTTTAAATAGATCATAATATAATCTCAGTAAATATCCATATCTGAACACTTAATTGTTTTGTTAAACACTTTTTTTTGTAATGGGACTGCACTTTGAACTAATTTGGTTGAATGCCCCATATAAGGAGAAGGTGAGGTGTTTGACATTATTTTGTTATGACATAAATAAATTTCATCAACATGACTGTTTTCTCACAATGGGGAATAAATTATATGTCATGGTATAATCATCTGTTGTTTTTATTACCTTGTGGTACATGGGGCATTTTTTAGCTTACCGGTAATTTTGGTTTATTGGTGTTTATATTTCATCATGTCCAGATGAATGCCGTTTCAGAGACTCTTGTCATTTTTCAAGAGGGCTTGCGTCACTAATTCGGCAGTACATACGCTTGCATAAAGTAATCATACGTTTTCTTACAGTGTGTGTCAGCATGGATAGGGTACATGGCCACAGTCTTCTTGTGCAAGTCTTCATCAGTGTTGCTTTGCTCCGTGTCCCACTGGCTAGTGGGCTTGTAGTTATCACAGGCACCATACACACAGCACTGGTAGGCATACGGCATTTCTATTACCCTATATCAAACAGAAATATTATTAGTTAGAGCATAACCAATAGATGCCCAAATGATAGTGAAACAAACAAAAAAAAATCATAAAAACTAAAGACTTGCTTATAACACTTGAGTACATCCAAAAATCTGTTAAAAGTGTTGTTCTTCTTCAGAAACAACTATCAGATTTCTAAGTATAGATGTGGATGGTTGTAAAATACAAACTTAAATGTACAGTACAATGCTTTTTTGATTATTTTCTGCAGTGAGTTCTTTTTTGGATGATGTTCTATTGTAATGCCAACATAGCCACTTGATCATTGGCCAGCTCTTATGAATTCACACTCCAGTACTGTACTGTGTACTTCAACACCTCTCCAGACATTCAGGGATCTTTGTAACAAGAATGAACCTGCTGCTGATAAATGCTTTTTATTGTTGAAGTTCCCAGATGGCTTGCAGGGATACACTGTAATTCGAGTATTGTCATTGTTGGCTGCTTTCATTAAATTAAAGATATATATTAGGAGAAAATTGCGAGTGGAAGGGTAATTGAAGGGATGGGAAGTGAAGCATTGTTCCTTAGAGCCAGAGGATACACACCTGGGTAAGTCGGCAATCTTGAATCAGTTTTTTTGTGTGTGTGTGTATGAAAAACCCAAATAAAAATGTCAGACTGGGTACAACATGAAGTAATAATGAATAAAAGAATGTGTGTGTGTGCGCATGTGTGTCTTACCTCATATGGGGGAAGTAATCAGGACTGAAGGCCTCAAACAGTTCTGTGTTTCCCCTCAGCTTGAGATGAGTGAGACCCCCCAAACCCACTACAGGCAAAGAGCTGAGACGGTTCTCAGTAAGGTCCCTAAGATAAATGCAGAAAGAAATTTAGAAATAAACAAAGGGGTTGGGGGTCAGACCAGGCCAAGTCAGTGTTTTAAAAAAAAAAAAAGTGTTTTCATTTCAGATCTTGCCGAGGGTCATCTTTCAGGAACAAAAAGACCTTGTCTCTTAGATATTTTAAAACTGTTCAGACAAGGCTCTTTATCAAACGTTCACCAGATAACACTTTTCTTCAGATGTAGCATATCTGCTTGTTTAGACAGACATACTTTAATCAGTCTACACACAATGAAGCAGTTTATATTGGCATGAACCGAAATTAGTCTCCTTGCCACACAGAGGAGTTTTCATAACAACGAATGCAATTCAGTGTTCTCTGTAGACTCAGCCAAAGGCAACAGGTTTTCTGTGGCACACACAGTCAATTTAAACTTGTTTGTATAGGGCGGAGGCTCTGACATACAGCTAAACTTTAATTAAAGATGCTCAAATTCAGCATGCCTTCTTGGGAAGAAAAGTGACACAGCAGAAGGGTGAGATGGAGGGGGAAAGAGTTGAAGAGATGGTTATGTTTATGTGTTTACTCACAGTTTGGTCAAAGAGTGAAGGGCAGCGAAAGCATCCATGTGGATCCACTGTATCATATTCCAGCTTAGATCCCTGGAAGAAAGCAGAACCAAAGTGGACTAAGCTTGACTGGAAGGAATTACATTTCCACATTGAATCTTTTTTTTTTCTCAGTCACCACTAGATGTCAGTGATTGGTCATGCGTCTACATGACTTCATCCTGACCCATGTGTCCAAACCCTTTGATGGTCTCCGTAAGATACAATTTCAGTGATTTTTCCCTCCAAAGATTGATTCATTTTGATACTTTGAAAGCTGCCAAGAGGAAAAACATTTGAACCACAACACCCTCCACCCCCAGCACAAATCTTCACCTGTTAATTAAATGCCAACACTATATCACACACATTGACACCTCTTTCTGGAGTAATGGCCCCAAGATTGAGCACCGCTTATCTAGAAAATGAGTTACCGTGAAAAATGTGACATGTGATACAAAGTGACAACTGGTGACTTACAGTGCTCTTAGAGAGGTGAGTTGCTGGAACGTGCTCGACTCTATCCTTCTGATTTGGTTATGCTGTAGCCCTCTGGTGAGAAACATAGACATACAATACTGCAATGGAATTTGTGTGGTGGAATACATAAAAAAATACAATAGTTTTGATACATGTTTGTGTGCCAGTGTGTTTGGGGTTGAACTAACATCTCTTGCAGAGCAGAGCAGTGGTAAAAGCTGGGCAAATCCTCTATCTCGTTGTAAGACAGCTCCCTAAAACAACATAAAAAGCACACACAGAAAGCAGAGATGAACACAGTGACCAGCTGTGAATTTGTTCATGGGAAATTATGAGGGTGACAGTATTATTTGGGTGAAGTCAGCTCTGTATGCAAGGCGATATAGCAGGACAATTTGGAGGGGGGATGATTGGATTTCATAGCTCCGTGATTGTACAAATGATTGCTTGGGGGCACAGCTCTCCATAGTAGGGTATCATTTTTTTTTGTACCTCTTACTCCCCCCTCCCTGTGTGTGTATATGTGTACTCACAGCACTCTTAGACGAGGCAGCTGCTCACATAGATCCAGAGGGAGAGCTGAGAGACCCGCTCGAGTCAGCGTCCTATAGAGAAAAAGAGAATCCTCTGATCATTGTTGAAGTGCAAGCAAGCGAAAGGATCCCCCAGTCCTGTGAGTCTAACTTGGTTGGACAGAGAGCTGTGTAGGTTCGCCAAACCTGTCAGCGGCTGGCATAACTAGCTTACCCCTTTCTTTCTTTTTTTCTGAGTCTCCTGTTCTCTCTCTTTCTCTCCTGGAATCCCAAAACACATACTCTCATCTTGTCTATAGTCTTTTTTTACGAGGGTCTACCTCACGCTTCTCCCTATGTTTTCCATTCTTCTTCTGTCATAAACTCTGATTCCACTCTTCTTCATTCATCTACTTTGACTCCCAGGATCGTACTTTTTATTATATTTCTGTCGTTTCAAATTCGGTGTTGTGTGACAGTTAAAGGTGACACACTCACAAAATTTCCAGACTGGTGGTTCCTTTCAGATCTGGAAACTCTTGAATCTGGGTTGCTCCATTAAGGGAACTGTGGCCGAACAGAGAAAAGTGTCAGAAAATTCTCCTCCTTTACTTTCCCGCTCTCCCCATTTTTCCTCACACTCTGTCACACACACACACACACACACACACACACACACACACACACATACACAGACGCAGACACACATTTGTGTGCACACAGACTTTTTCTAACAGCTCATTTCAGCCATCAAACTTTTCCTCCAACATCAACACAAGCTGTTTTGGCTGTCTCACTAGACATCATAAGTCACACCATTCAACATGTTCTTACAACACACTTTCTCTTACCACATCAGCACGCAGCACAGCAATACTCTAACACAACATAATTCAGTAGGCCATTACACATGTCCACTCAACTCTCCCTGCGAGGGGCAGAGGGTGATTTAAACAGTGTTTGGGCTAACTCACTGGAATGGTTTCCACTGACCACATACTTACAGTGTGTGCAGCTTAGGTAAGAACTGGAAAGCGGATTTTCCCACAAACTGGATGGGGTTCTCATAGAAATGACTGCAAGAAATGAAAGGCAAATTGATTTTGACATATTTTGATGAATTTGTTTTGGGGAATGAGCTGTGTTATACATGATGTTGACATGAAACAGCCAGTATGTGTTTATCTAATACATTGTAGCATTAAGCTCACATGGTTTGAAGCTGTGGGTTTCCCACGAAGGCTCTCTCAGGGATGGCTTTGATATTGTTGTTATGAAAACCCCTGCAAAAAAATACTGTTAGTCAAAACGTCTATCAATATGGTTCTGATTTTTTTCTTTGCGAGTGTGTGTATTTAGAGGACAGACAGAGTGTGTTTATGTGCAGGAGTCAAGTCATATGTCCTCATGTTGCACCTGCCATTGCACAGCTGAAAAACATTTTTGGATAAATGAGATGTAAACATGCGCACACAGGCTGTATTAGTGACACATATACACGCTGCAGAACATCTGCTGAGGCTGAGGGAAAACATTTTTTTGTGTATGCGTGCATGCACGTCTGTGTGTATGTGCAGGCAAGCGGGTGCGTGGGAGGCAGCACCTGCTTAGGGCGAGAGAGATTGTATCCGAGTGCCACATTAAAATCACTTAACAGGATTACTTGGGATAACAGAACCATGATAGTCATGTCGGGCAGGTGTGTTTTTGTGTGTCTGTGTGTGTGCCTGTGTGTGTGTCTGTTAGAGGTGGGCGATATGACGATATGAAGATTCAAGGTATTTTTTCATGTGCTTTTTGCTATAAAGCAGTATAACGTCATTAAAAAAAGATCACGCATTAGAACAATTGTGTTGTTTCAGGACCAAAACATTGCCAATTGTAATTTTGCAAGTTAAAGTCATTCCAATAAATGGTTCAATAATTGATATTTATTTGTGTGATTTTGACCACACATACAGTAACACTTCAGGCCACCCCTGCAGAAGTCAGTGCCCCAGTTGGGCCACCCCAGTCAAACAATTCTGGACACGCACCTGCTGGTGTTTCCACTAATGTGTGTGTGTGTGTGTGTGTGTGTGTGTGTGAGATAGAGAGAGAGAGACGGATAGAGTGTGTAGACTCACAGTTCTTGAAGCTTACTCAGTGTCCTAATGGCCACAGGGAACTCCTTCAGATCATTGTAGTTCAAATCCCTGAGAGAAACACAGTAAGATACAGTTTCAAACTCCAGGTCCAGGGCATCTTGGAGGTTTTATCTCCCAGGTTTTTATATCTTAATCAACCATATGCTGATACTTTGTGTTTCTCCGTGTGAGAAAGTGTTTCTGGATGCATATGTAAAAGAAGCAATTTCCTCTCCACTCAAAGAGCCTGACAGCTGTTGAGTGCGAAGTTTGGATCTGACCCTTGCCCTTTGCTGCACTGAAACTATTCTTTATGTCTGTCTCTGATTAGTTTCCCAGGAAACGCTGTATCAAAACAAGTGTTGCTGTAGATGAGAAAGCTCATATTCCGCTCTCAGGAAAAGAGATTTCATTGAATCTCTTGTCTGTATATCAGTACTGCAGATGTGCTTGTTTGCATACTGTGGTAAAAGTCTTGTATGTTGCTTGCCATGTTAAGACCTCTCTCTGCACTGCATGTGTGCATGTTTGTGTGCTGCTTTTGAAGATCCTAAGTTATTTGTCTCCCAGGACAGAAGATATCTGATAGTACTACGTCAAACAGATTTATTTGACTCTTTTCAAGTTCAGGACAACACAAATGCTTTTGTGAAGTACTTTGAGATATTTCCCATGAATCAGTGGATATTGTGAAATATCTCTCCGTCTTTTATGCGTGCTGAGTTTTCTGACCATATCCTGGCCGGCTTTTCTTAGTAATGATTTTATAATACGCACTAGGGGTTGGGGAGGGTGGCGGTGATGCAGATGGTGGCGATACAGATGGTCTCTCGTATTTCTCATGTGCGAGGCCGTTGTGGGGGATTAACCCCTCATACCAGCTCATTCCCCACGTCAGTGACACCTGTCATCTTATCCCGCTGAATTGTTTGTGTCCTGTAGCCGCTGACGACCTGAACACTTTAACACACACTATTCTGGTCCAGTGAGCTCCATCGCTCTTTTTCTCTTTCTCTAGTTTCAATTCATCCCCTTAACCATGGCTCTGACTTACATCCTCTTCCCTCACAATTCCTTGCATGGATGATAGCTTTAAAGTTTCCTGCTAAGCTTGCCATATGCCTGTGTGTGCAAAATGCACAGACAGAAGTACTCGTTTATTTGCACACTCATGCATGTGCCCACACACATGCTCATAAAAAGGAACGCATAATATTTTACACTTCAACAGGTTGTTAAGCAGCGTGCCAGAAACTGTGTTTTCATCAGACCACCATGAAATTTTGCAGGAGGAACAGTTGCACTGTCTTTGTTTCTCTTGCTTTCTTGCTCCATCCCTTTCTAAAGACTTGGGAAGTTTCTTGAGGTTTCCACATTTAGTTTGTGGTAAGGACCTAGTCATGGAAGCTACGGCGCATATATGCCCCAACATCTCTCCTGTAGCCTTTCCGAGCCATATTTGCCCTCAGTACGGCTTGGCAGTCACTTCTACAAAACACAAGAATCGTTTGATGTTGCTTCAAGGTAATCAAAGAGGAATTTATTGGTTGTCGTCTTGAGAAACGTCCAAGCACCTGCTAAAATTACCGGGATATTAATCATTATGACTGAACAATTTAGCACCACACTTTATTATTCTTTGGCACACTTGGTTTATATGATCTTTAAAAACATTGATTTCAAGTGTTCCGAGTACCACCAAAGACTTCAACACACGATTTGCAAACAATATCATAATGACTGAATGTTTAATGCTAATACTTCTCATTACAAAGCTTATATCAATATTTGGGGAAATAATGAAGGAACTCATTTGCAGCTTTAGGGTGTGTGTATATGAGGCTGTGTGTGTGTGTAATATAGGGAACATGTACAGTATTAACCACTGTCATGTTGGGGTGTGTGTGTGTGTGTGTGTGTGTGTGTGTGTGTGTGTGTGTGTGTGTGTGTGTGTGTGTGTGTGTGTACTTACAGTGTCTCCAGACTGTGTAAACCTTCAAAACATCTTTCACCCATGCTCTTGATCTGGTTGTTATGGAGATGCCTGTAAAGAGGTTTAAAAAATGTTTTAAAAAAAAATCCAAAGTAACTCTTTCCAAAACATTTCGTCACTGCAATCACTGTTCTCACAGAAACAATCATATCTGTTGAAAATTATGAAAACCAGACTCGAGAGTTTTAAGTAAACATATCAGTATTTCACTCACAGTACAACAAGGGCAGAGAGGTTGGTAAACGCATAATCGGGGATGTGTGTGATTTGGTTGAGGGCCAGCGTCATGGCCTGAAGGGAGGGCAGAGAGTCCAGGGCTGTCACTGGAATCTCAGTCAGGGAGTTATCGTCCAACCACAGGTGTCTTAGAGCGCAAACCCCTCGAAAGGCCCCAGCCGGAACCTCAGACAACAGGTTAGCATCAAGACGCCTGCAGGGTTAGAGGGATTGAGTTTAGCAAGGTAATCATCAAGTCTAGGCACAGTAGTTTTTCGCATGTGTATTATGCTTGGGCGTGCTTACAGGTTAGCGTTGTTGCATTGAAACACTTTGGCTTACAGGAAGGTTATTATGAGAATTATGAATCCTTAATTCTCCCTCTTTCATCTTTGCTGCAGCGTCTTAGAAGTGGCTCGTTATGATTTATTCCCATGCTAAATAAGCCATGTCTAGCGTTACCAGCACAGACATGTATGAAATGTAAGATGAGAAAAACAGACACAAGCGTGTAGGATTGGTTGTGGCAGGCCTTTTTAATTCTAACATGCTTTATTAATGTCTTATAAAGTCCACCTCCTTGAAGTCTTGAAAACAGGGACGCCTGAGAGAAGGACATTAAGATGCATATTCAAATCTTCCCAACTCTTTCTTTTGGATTCTCACTGCGACCATCATTCCTGACATTTTCAGGAACTGATAGCGGCACACATGCTCTCATTAATACATTTTCATCCCTGCAACCACACCAAACTTAATAAACCCCTCTTTACTCCAAACCCCCTCAAACCTCAGGCTCGGAGGATTGGACTGTGACACATAAGCACACCCATGTAAATGGTTCTGTCCACAGTGATGAATGATCCCTTCGGGGCAGAGTTGACAAGCTTTAACCACTTCCTCCTTCTATTCTTCTTCCTGTGGCCCTTCACACTCATTCATTAATCTCCTTTTCCACCCTCCAGCCCCTCTCAGGCACACATTTTGTTTTTTTACATCGTCACTGATGCACTCCCAACTGCTTGAAACCCCAATGAGTCTCACTCTCTAAATCTTGTTTGTCTTTCAAACATTCTCCCTTATCAATCTTTACCCGTGGCTCTTCCATTCTTGTGCTACAGCTTCTCCTAAGCATCCTTACCCCTCGGAGGCTTCACCAAACAAACAGCATCATCAAAGTGAAATCTGAACTTGAACTCTGAACTCTGAGCTCTTCTCCCGAGGGAAATTTTCCATCAGGAGAGGCAACTGTATACACTGGCAGATGCTCACACACATGCACACAGGAAAACACTCTTTGGCTCATATGTAAATACACAGGAGTGTGCACGAGTGCACACACTAACAGCCTCAAGAAATTTTCTTCTTGTCCATTTCCTGAGCACACATTTATTCCATTGCTAAACACCATCCTTGTGCATCCTGTGCTCTACAACTGTGGACATTGTTTGTCCCTGAACCAAATCGTAGGATGAAAGCTACGGAAGACCCTTCAACTTTCTGGTCTGTTCTCCAGGGCAAAATAATAATTGCTCCTTTGGGTGGACCTGCCAGGTCTCCAGAAGGTCCAGACAGAACCAGGAATGTTCCACAGAAGCCAATAAAGCAACAACTATTTCCTGTCCATCACATCAAAGTCTGAGGTACAATTACAGGAGAGTGAAATAAACGGGAGAAAAAAAGAAAGTTCTCTTAAATGATCCAGGAGATCTGTGGAAGTGCCTCCACTGGTTCAGTTCTCCAGATGGCCAAAGCTTTACTTAGAGAAGGGAACTTAAAGAAAATGTTTTACTTCCAGCGAATCAAATCTAAAAACATGGGTCATGTTGATTAACGTAGCTTCTGGAGCTCATCAGTGTTGATTATCTTTCTTTTTCGGGACCCAGATCACATCTGTCTGCTCAAGATGGCACCAAACTAAGCAACAGCACTCGCAGTGTGTGTTGTAATTAGCCTGTTCCAAATACCGAGACAAATTTGTTGACTCAGTTTCAGTTCTCTGCTGACAAAGGATTCATGTCCTAGATTAAGACATGATTAATTTTGTTTGAAAGCCTCCTTTGTACATTTATATCAATTTAAAACCCATGTGTAGTCTGAGATGCAGCGTGTCTTTTTTTTTTACCTGGTGTGTTTTATGTCGGTGAGAGGCGCCGACAAGCTTCACTCTCCAAAGCCTTTCCAGTAATCTTTCTCCGCTGGGCTTATCATTACTGTAATGACAAGGTGCGTCTCTATACACTGGCTGAGCTAGTGTGTGTTTTTTCAGTACTTGAGACCATCACTGTGTGAAAAGACCACACACACCCACACTAAGGCAACCAAGATATAGATGGAAGACAGACAGAGACATCATGATTGTGAGGTTAAAGGTACACATACACATCCTTAGCTTAGGTGCGTGTTAAATGAGAGAAGGCCTGTTTCATACCAGAAAGGGAAAAGTTGTAGGGTAGGTGTAGTGTTTAGTGTATTTATCAATTGGAGTGTATGTGATGAAGAATGAATGTGATGAATGTTTATGGATATTTACAGAGGAGTATTAATTTGGAACAGGTGGATGTTGAGTACGTTTGCTGAACAGAGTCCGGAAGGATGAAATTACAGATGAGGTGGTCTACATGCATCCGCCCAAACATAGATGCTGTTAAACACACACACAACACACATGCACTCAAACAATGACCCTACAGATGAGTTAATTATGCCACCAAACACTCTTAATCGCCAGGGGGATAGCGGTTTGGGTGGTGGGAGAAGAGCAGAGGAGGAAGAGAGGGAATTGATGGAAAATGGGGTTGTTTCACAGCTCATTGGAGATGCTCTCCCTGGCCTGCAGTGTCTGCTGTTTCCCTCATGGCTTCCAGATGCTACCATGAACTGCACTGACACAGTCAGGCTGTGGTTCCTCCATCAGGGAGTAGAGCGCTAAATGTAGAACTATTGGTTTATGATCTATAATATGTGGTACTCTATACCTTTTATTGAGGTTAGAGTTTAGAAGTGTGACATCCTACTCTACCTCTGGGTGAGTTAGAGTAGCATGTCTAATTTGGTTCTGCATGTATATCGCACAAAAGAGAGAAACTCACAGGGACAGTAGGTTGGGTAGGTCCCATGGAGCATCATCAGGAAGTCTCTCCAGTTGGTTATTTTGTAGCATCCTGAAAGAGAAAAAAAGATAATTCAGTTAAAAGTAATACATCTATTTGTAGTAGAGTGTATGCGCTGTGCGTGAGGGCACATCAAGCAGAACAAATAATTACAACATGAGGGAAATCTGACTCAAGGAAGGAATGGGCCAGTGAAAGCTTGAAGAGAAGCAGAGAATGAAGGCTAGAAGGAAAGAGGAGCTCCTTGGGTGGGCTGCTGATGTCATCCTCAGAAGAATGGAGCAAAAAGCAAAGGAGGAAGTGTAGAGCACAATTGCCCTCTTTCTTCCCCTTACCTTCTTCCCTTTCTCTGTCTTTCTTTTCCCTTTTTTCTAAAAAAAAAAGTCGCATGCTCTCAGTGTTTTTCCCAAATCTCTGTAAGATATGATTGGTTCAGTGTTGAAAAAATGCTGCTCAGGTTTGAGAGAATCAGGGGAACGTTACCTGTAATGATACCATGATATATACGTCAACCTTTGCTGTGTAACTCTGAGTTTGTAATCTTCTCTGCATGTGAGTGTGTGTGACTTTATGAGAATCAGAAGGGACCTGCAGTCACCCCACACAAAATCTGCGGTTCATTTGTTTCTTGACATAGCCTGACTTAAACTTATAACTCTAGGAAGGAAACCAACAGCTTTGTTGCTCTAAGGTCAAAGAGACTGTCCAAAGTTTGAAGGGGTGTTATTGTATGAAGCATGAATGCTTGCAGGCTTGTATGAATTCAGGATACTTTTGTCCTTCAGCTTTAATGACATAATAGTGTCTTCCAAGGCTGGTTTATTAAGATGTTCTCTGTTTGATTCACAACACAAGGTAAGAATAAATTGTATCCTGGTAATCCTCCAAATTCCCTCAAATTACAGACCACAATGCTCAAGCTAAGTTTATATTCAATGGCAAGGCCCTTCAAACTTTTTCTCAGCAAGGGTGCAAAATGACTTGAGTTGATTGCCAAGGCTCATGAAAATGTCCTTTTCCCTTCTCTTGCAACGACTAGAATCAGGGTCACAATTCATTAGACGCAGCTCTCACAATTCAGGAAGAACCATCGCTTTTATGGTTGCTTTGCAGTTCTTGCGATTTTCATAACTGCACAGAATTGCCAACAGTTGGTGGCCATGGATCATATGGCTATGAACACCCAATGAAAAATAGGGTGTTTGAAAATCAATTTAAGTGTTTTTTTTTTTTGTCACTTGCTGTAATCTTGGTGGGTGGTGTGACTGGGAGGTCCCTGCATTACACCTGTGTTTGTGTGTATGTGTGTGTGCGCATGCTTGCAACTGAAACAGGGCTTTTTCGGGAATGAAGGAACTGCAAGCAGAGCAGGTCTCCCCCTAGCCCATAAACTTTAACTGCAGTTAATGATGCGTGGCCTGTGTGTTTTATTCAAGGCAGGAGCACAACTCTATCACCCCAGAATGCAGCATTGGAATAACCCGCCTGGGATGGACCAGAGTGGGATTGGGTGGGTGGGGTTGAGAAGGAGGTTACTTACAGAACTTTAAGGTTGTGGAGACCCTGGAGAGCATGGCCAGAGATATACCTCAGCTGGTTTCCTGAGATACGCCTAGGAAAGAAACAGAGATCAAAAAGAGAAATCACTATACAAAAGTGAAAAATGAAATATAAGAACACACATATAAAAAGTTACAGGTCTCATAAGGGAAATATTGCCTTTTGCTTTATTCTACGCTCTTGGATTGAGCTGTGATATGACCTCATCCTCAAGTTCCTGCTTTGGGGTTATTGTTGGGGCAGTATGCAAATAACATTATTCTATTCCCTTCAATGTGGTTGTTATTGGCCCAAAGCACAGCCTGAAACCTTAACCAATCCTGGGAGCTCTGATGAGTGAGCAAAGACTGAATTGAATGAGACTGCGACTGGGTCAACAAGTGCAGCGTGAAAGTATATTTGCTTACGCGCATGTGAGCGTGTTTATGGGTGTGTATAAAGAGGAGTTATACTATGTATGTAGACATGAGAGCGTGCATGTTTTCAGTGTGAATGTGTGTGCTATTTTCCATGTCCTTGAGGTAAATTGGCCCGTTCTGAGGGGCCTTGAGGACAGCGAGGGAGAAAAACCACACACATTCGCACAAGCAATCCAATCAGTTTGTTTATCAAACACACCACCTAATGGTCATTTGTGAGTGTGTATAAGGAGTCCAAATAAATAACATTCTGTCCAACAGAGGAACTCTCAAGGTCACGAGCTGGAAGCACACTTTAAACACAGATTTGGGCTACACACTCTCAGACCACCCACTTCTATTAAACACAGGAGTTAAAAGTTACTCAATGGCATCCTCCTTTTCACACCATTGCTTAACAGGTGACATTGTACTCTTTTTTTCTAAGCAGTCTGCCTCTGGTTGAGTTGTTCCATCGGTGCCAGGATATTGAAATATAGTTCTGCCTGCCCTTTCCAAGCCTCTATCATCTAGATGGTAATGGATGACAGCTCTCACATACTCCCTCCGACATCTGATATTCATGTCAATGTGTCTCATTCTTCTTACTGTGCAGTGGCAAACCACACAAAACTACACGCCTGCCAAATCTCACACTGAGCCCAGTTTATAAGTCCTACAGAGTTTGTTTTTGAAAAACACACATAGATACAAAGACACACACTCATATCAGCATTCTAGAACACATAAGGACTGATCGTTATCCAAGGCATTGTGGAGCCATTAAGTCATGCGTCTCAAACCACAGTCAAAACTCATTCAAACTTCAACTAGGCCACATGTCTTAATAAAGAAATTCACAGAGATGGAAGACTGACTACAGTTTTGACCCAACAAATTCCAATGACAAAAGACAAAAGAGTTCAGGCCCGATTTAGACACTAATTTTTAAGTCGGTTTAATTTCAGCTCTATGCAAGTCATTAGTTGTGCAGTGTAAACTAAGGCACAACAGCCGATGACGGCCCGATGTGCTGCTCCCATTTGGTCCGATGATTTTTTTGACATGTTTGATATTTTGTTTGTACAACTTTACACACTCGCACAGTGAGAGGAGAGCCTCGTGTTGATCCCCGACTATGGGACTTCTGTTTCTGATTGTGCCTGCACAAACTGTAAGACAGCATCCAAAATCACCATGGCAACAGCAGGTTTGCCTTTTAATCTGTCTTCCCCCTCCTATCATGGAAAGAAATGTTGGCAGGAAATATCTGCAGACCTCCAGCTGGCAGGGAATATTTTGATTTAGCTGCTAGTTAGCTTGTGTATATTGGTGATGAAGATTGTTTGTGTGTGAGAGAGAGAGTGAGGGCGTTTTTTGCTGATGTGTGTATTTGAGCAAACCCCCGGCACAAATCAGACTTCAACCTCTGTGGAAATGTTCTTTCTCAATTTAACTTGTATGAGCTCTTAGGTCGTGTCTGACATTCGGACTGTGCAGTGTGAGCTTTGTGCGTTGTAATCTAAACTAGTTGAAGAGTGTGCGCTGACATTCCATCACGACTTGTTGACAATCATACAGTGTATGCCAGGCGTTACAATGGAACCTGCCCATTTGTCATCTCCAAGAGCACGATAGGTGTGCTATATTGCCATTTCAGTTTTGACCACTGCACTCAAGCAGGTCAAGGGACCATTTTGCTAGAGGTAACTGATTCGATAGGCCTTGTTGAGGTCCTGATATCAGTAAAAATAGATCGAAGCCTCTTGCTACAAAGACCCCCAAGTTTTTGTTCTTTGGTTCATGTTCAAATGCAGTGATCAGTTACGGGCCCATTGCACAGAAAAAAAGATATAGGTAGCACTAAAATGATAAATAAAATAAATGGCTTTTCACTTGGGATATTAAGGCGAGCAGTAAAATAGAGTTTTAGAAAACAAACAGTTAAGGCCATGGTATTATGTTCATGTCCTATTGCCAATCAGCCTTTCTCCATTATCCGCACCACGCCAGCCAAAAAAGCATTAAAAAGGAATCATGCCTCTTTTTGCCGACTTCATTTGTCAAATGGATATTTATGCCAAAGAGAAGATGGATATTAAAAAAGGAGAAAATAATAATCAGTGCTTTTTGAAAGACATCTACTGAACACCAGCAGTTGCCATTGACCGACTGTTTCCATGATATCAGTGAGTGTTTATGGGTGAGTGTGTGTGTAAATGATGTACGTATGAGTGAGCGTTCAGCACTTAGCCTCCTAGTTGTTCCACATCAATCTCGCTCTGATGAAAGGCGCCTTGCTCTTGTCAAACCCTGGCTCCAACTGTTTTTTCTTTTAATTTGATTTGGGGGTTGGTTACAAATTCTTCTTGGCTCCTGTACTGTGCAGATAAAAATTCCACCTCAGTATTTCTCAGCTCTGTTGAAATAATTCATATATAGACTAAAAGAGGCCAAGTTCAAATGTATGGGAGAGAAGTGGGAGGGAAGAGACAACACTGCTATCAGAGCTGATCAGTAAGGGCTTTAGTGAAGCATACCAACTGCAGATTATCATATGTATCACCATGTCTTATTGCTCAAGATGATAAACAAAAAGAAGGATTAAAGACCTAGACAGCAAACAGCATCGCATTTTGGAATACTATATCAGGTAGTGATAGGACATCATGGTGGTAGCAGAACCAGGATGGTAGATAAAAGTGGATGATGAAAGAACAAGGAGAGGATAAACAGGCCTTATCAGAGAGAGAGAGCGCTTTGTGTGTGGGTGTGTCTGTATTTTACATGTGCATGTATGACCTTGTTCACCCTCAGTCCATCAATAGAAATGTTCTCCCTCCTTCTGTTCAGAGGTCCAGCCTGAGGGTCAGCCACTTAACCTGACATTAACCTCTGAAATTATTGTAATAAGATACAAACATAGAAGAGTGTGGGTGTGTGTGTAGATACATGTGGGTACGTGTTTATGGGAGAGAAAGAGACTAGCAGACAAAATCAATGTTGGCAAAGCTAAAAGGAAAAGTTTTTAATTGATAGTCCCAGCTGTAAGATGCACCTGGAGCATCAAGAAAGCCAACTTAGTAACCCCTTAACCTTCGCCTGCATCATACTCCTGGCCTATCAGCAGACAATCTTATCGTGAAGTGGAAGACAAGCAGGGCAGCTCTGGCCTCTGATCACCACTTCTCTCCTTGCACATTTGGATAACATATTTGTGATAGTCAAAGAGCACCTGGGTGTACCTTCACAGAGTTGCAGAAGCCTAGGCTAGAGGGATATTCAAGGTTTGATACTGCAAAAGACCAGATAACAGTTACTTTCAGGAATTTTGAAGGGGTCTAATTCGACTCTGTATTTTGCAGGTTGGGGATGAGTACAGAAAATGATAAGATGAGCGTTAGAGACTCGGATAATTAACCCAAACAGCTGGTTATGAATTAGGAAAGAAGAAAAAGGCAAAGTGAAACATGATCTCCTGAAATACAAACAGCATGTACTTTGACACTGATGATAGGCAGGAAGCACTGTCGCCGTTAAAGTGGTTTTCAGGAAAGGCTTCTAGGTTTCACCTCAAACCCTCTGCCAAGTCATAATTAGATCCAGAATATATGCCGCATCTTTGATATTAGAGCATTTGATTCGAAAAAAAAAAAAAAGTGGCTGTCTTTGATATGTCAGGTAAATGAGTAACCAGTCTTAATCTGTACCAGAAAGTGAGCATTACTGCCTTCTAATTAATCCATAGACATGCAGTCTGACTCTTTATGCTCGTCTGACTGACAGTTGCGTGCAGGTATTTTTGTTTTAATGAACAGAAATTTCACTGATCAAAGCACCAAATGAGAGGGATCAGGGATCAATAGATTACGATTCAAAAATGAAAAGTCAACAGGTAGAGAAAGGGCTGGAGGGCGGGGCGATTTCACCTACATCTTTCCTTTATTAATATTAATGCCGCAGTGAATCAAAGAAAGGTACGCTGCATGCTTTGAGAATCAATTTAATCACTTCATACAAGATTCAAAGAGATAATCTGTTTGCCTTTTTAAACTTTAGAGCTGAGCAGTAAATCGATAGGAGGCAGGATGAGATGGATTCAAAAGCAGTGCTTCTGAAGGATATGCTGTAAGTGGCTCATGAGATTTTATTTCCTCTCCTTCGCATCGTGCAAAGATGGATGAAAGGTGAAAATCTTGTCATGAGCAGATTTGTTTTGGTTTTTAAGAACGTGGCCAATAAGAGGAAAAAAATAACTCAAAGGCAGTGAGTGCAGCTTGCAATAGCCTGAAGTAAAATGGAGATTGGGGTCTGTAGGAATGAATTGGATACGAGGGAAACAGGTACAGCGAGAGAGACACAGGGAGGTAGAGCCCAACATCAAACAATTTATCACTCTACCAGTCACAACCTGCCTGGCCCTTGCTTCTTCTCCCTGTGGTACCAACAAGTGCTGTAGACCCACATCAAACGCTCTCAAACCAACCATGTTTGTGTTTCGGAGTCTCAGTTGGTTTTGTAAGCGCTTTAAACTGTTATAATTATAATGTGTTTACCATAACCTGCTATGCGTCATCCCACTAAACCGTCCTGACAGGAGTGAATGTAAGAAATGTGCTTCTCCCTGTCTTGGAACAGCATTATCATCTCAGCATGTTTCCAGAAATGGTCAGCGGGCTATAAAAATTGGCTTTGGGGCAGGAACATCCTCTTTGGATGAGTTACAAAGCTACAGAACATCTCCATAAAGTGTCAGCACATGAGCGCAATACAGAGGAAGCAAGATCAACAGGGCTGTAAAAAATCGGAGGATTGAATCTGGACAAGCACTGTAGTAGGAGCTGTGCAAGACCCCCAGTAGCCTTTTCCCCATCGCAGGCAAATGTTGGCATTGGTGTTCAGCATGATTCTGCAACATAGTTCCCATAACCATGCCATCTGAAATATCTAACATATACGCCTTTTATGACGAGAAACATTCAGGTCAACAGTTTTATAAAAAATACAACTCCTAGTCTCCCAAAACAAAATCGTTCAGCTTTGGCCTGTTCTTCAAACCAAATTTGATTGTGACTCAAAACCAACTGAATTGTTATCCAGCTGACCTTTTACTTTCATCATCATTAGCCCATGCCTCACTGGCTACAGCTGCAAGAATTAGCAAGGAAAACAGCGGACTGTTCAAACACCCCATGCACACACACAAAGACTCACATACACACAAAAAAAAAAAGAAGTAAAGAATCAGGTGAGGGCTGACATACACACATAAGCCCCCATGAGTTTCTACACGCTTACGCACACATTCTTACCCTGAGGCGAAATCTCATGGCAGCCTTTTGTCAAACCAAGACTTAGGGTAGTTCTGCTGAGTGGTCGAATCAGATATCAGCCCGGTGGAACAAGAACATGTTGTAAAGAAAAGTTTGTGGTTTTGCTGCTGCGTGCATGTTTTCATCAGCCTTGTGCAAATGAAACCAATACCTTCTACTTTGTGAAGCACTGACCAAAGTGTCAAGGCACGAAAATCAGAGGCTGAGTCATATTACTTGGATTTGTTTTTTTCTTTTCTTAATTTAACAAATTGTGAAAAAGTATTTCCAGCCAAGAGAAGTGTATTGAATCCCATTTGTCTTGGCATTTAATTCATTACGTTTCTTGGCACCGAAACATTTCTAACGATATCCTACCTTACCGGTACTTAAAGTGATAAAAGAGAATATAAACCCCATAATTCTATCCTGATGTCTCCTATTGTGTGTTGCTTGTCTTGGCAAAGGCTTTCATCTATGTGTGTATTGCTCCTGCTGTGCTGTCCAGCTGAACCAAAGTCAAAGAGGGCAAGAAAGCATGCGGCTTGGATGCTGAGCACAGAACCTGCTCTCGAAATGCTTTAAGGACTATATATCCCCTCTCTGAGCAAGTATTAAATTCGCTTCACCTCCCTCTTTTGTGCAGCCATCTCAAGATCTACTAGCCTATTGCTGCAGGCAGTTTCTTGGTAGGAGAGATCAGAGGCAGGCCAGAGTCATCAATCCCCATTGCCGAGTTCTGCTCATATCAGCGGCTCAGCGATTCACTGTTTTTTTTTTTTTGTTATGTGCGTTGTGACGTCAAAGCTTTATTAATTGGATGTGAAGTGAATGATTTTTGTACTCACAGTTCTGATAACAGGTGCAGTCGGTGGAAAGCTCTGGGCTGGATCTCACTGATGTTGTTCATGCTCAGATCCCTGGAGAGAAAAAAATGGGGACCATCAGTAACAAGAAGTATCAATCTGTGTGTATGTTGTCGATGGTCTTTGAAGATACGCCGGACATGTAAAATGGCAAATGTTAAGAGCACATTTTTCACTCTTCCATCCATCATTGGGACTAGGGAAAAGTACGCACAGTGAGGTTAGAGGGTAAGGTAGAGAGATTGGAGGACAAGAGGGAGGAGAGGGAGATGTAGAGAAGAATTTTCCCCAATGAATCATTGTTGGGCAGCTGTAATTTCCTCTTCGTCCCAGTTACTCTTTCTCTTTTCCAGATGTCTCACTCTACCTTCTCTAGGATCTGACCCTTTGTGTCCCTTCATATCTATCTTTCTTTCTCTCATCATCTCTCCTCTTCTTTTTTTTTTCTTCCTCAGGTTTCCCTGGAGACCAGCTCCCCTCCTTCTTTATTCATTGCCATAACATAGAAGCACTCCATTTCTCTGCATCTCTGACACACTCTGACGTGATGGGGTGTGTTATGGGTTGAGTGTTGATGCAGCTGCATTGGGTCAAAGAGGGAGAGGTGCAGGATGCTGAAATACACGCACACATTCAACACACACACACACACACGTATCACTTTTCTTTTTTTGTAACACTTTGGATAATATGAGCACAACTTGTGTGTCAGCCTCTGGTAGAAAACATATCTAACCTTGTGGCCCCAGTCATGTAAGGTCATATCTTTGATAAACTCAATGAAAGGAAGGAGGTGTTACGTCACCTCTTCTTTGCTTTCATAGCCCTTGGGGTCTTGCATGAGTCTTCAACAGTGAGGCTCGGTTGTGCGTGTGTCCATGTGTGTGTATGACACTAACCATTGCTTATGAAGCCAGACCACCGGGCTTGCAAGTGTAAACTGTGCTCTCAGAAGCCCGTTGCAGTGTGCAGTTTTGACACACTGGTTGTTTGTTTGTAAAGTCAGCCAAGCCGACAGGGGGCTGGATGAATTTATCCGCAGGCATGATCCATATTCAGCTTTCAGGGAGATGTGGAAAAAAAAAAGCTACATGGCAGCATTCTGGTGCACCAATTTGGGTCTATTTAGTAGATGTTACAAGATGAATTAAGTGAACCAATAGTTTGGGACCCTGTCAAGGATAACATTTAACATGTTGTGCTTGCAATGTTAAGTGTGTCCTTTCCTCATGAGAATTTGTAGGTCAGATAATTGTGGAGTTGTTTTTTTTTGCAGCCTCTGCTGACATTGAATATTTTCCCTATGAAAACATAATTATAGCATGTTAGTTTCCCTGCATGGGAATTTCTTTTTACAGATGCTGAGGTCTGACTACAGAGAGCTGGGTTCAAGGTGTTACACAGGGACACACTGAGGTCATTGTTGAGGTAAAGAGAGATAAAGATATCTGAACAACTCTAACTGCAATCTTAGTATATAATGGAGATGTCTGAAACTTTCAAAAAGACTTAGCAAATATTTTTCTAAACAAAGGGCTTTGAGGATAATGCAATTAGGTGTTAAGCATTAAGTGTAACAATGTTTGTTCACAATGAAACCCCCACATGGTACCTTTAAATATTGTTGCCTCATTGGATGGACATCTGTAAAATTTCAATTGTATTTTCCAGCAATATATATGAAATATTAGATTATTGTACAATACATGTGTAAAAAGAAAATACAGCCTAAGTAATTGTTTTTCATAATTAAAACAAGTTTTTTGTTTAGATAGATTTTAAGCAAATTAACCAATATCTGCGGACAAGGGTATCCTCATGGGACCTCCTGCTCAACAAAATGACTTTAATTATGTCATGTGAACTATGTACTGCACGTTTGTCCCGTTTCCGCTCTGGGCAAAAACTTGTGAATGATCATACCCAGTGTAATGCACTATTGCTTGATTAAAGTCAGAGGGAAATGATAACAAAGTTGCCATAGAGATAAAACAGCCGGCAGTAATAGCGAACCAGTTGACATAATCAAGAGTGGGTTACATCATTTACAAAACAAGGAGCACATCATCACCTCATACTGCCTCCTGAATACTACAAATACACCTTAATCCTTTTTCATTGTCTGTGCACTAATAATCTTTGGAAGAAATATTTGATAAGCAATTATGTTGGGATTCTTGTAGCAGCACACAAACACACTCAAAAATCATCCAGCTTCTGGGGATGCGCCCAGGGATTGAGACGAACTCTGCATTATCTGGTCCTGATTAAAGAAGCCATAAACAAACGTTGTGTGAAGTCCATAACAGCGGACTCACTCAGACAGAATAAACACGCAGACATGGAGAGAGAAAATGTTTAAAAATAAAGACACAGTGGTGAGTCATAGGGAAAGGTTGAATGCAGCTCAGCTCGACTGTGCTCTCCAACCAACTTATTGGGAAGCTGGAGAGAGAGAGAGAGAGAGACATTTCTGCTGCGCAGGCCAAGGCCTCCGCTGACAACTTGACATATCGTTGGAAGGCACTGTGCTATGGCTTGTTTTTAAAATCAAATAACAGCTGTGGCTTTTTTAAACCATGATAATTATGATTGATGACTACCACATGTGCATTGTGTTGGCTGGCGTGGTGACGTGCAGATATTTTCAGCGCAAATAAATGGTCGCAAAAGAAATGAGAAGGAGAGCGCCTAAAGCTCCTGCGGGCTGTGCAGTGTATGAGAGTTTCACAATCAGAATTTTGGTTTTGTCCTCGTTTTATGATCAACTCTAACGTGAGTGCATGCGCTTTTTTGAGACAGAAGGGAGACTAAGTGCAAGTGTGTGTGCGTGTGTCTGTTAGTGTCTATGCCTTTGTGTGCAGTACAATCCTTTTTCCATTTATAGGTGCCTGCGGTGTGTGTGGTAAGATGTCTGTCGCTCATTTTCACACCCCTATTGTTTCCCAGTGAGCCTGCAGATGTGGTGGGTACAGATCTTGGTCGGGCTGTCACCACATCATACATGGTCGCTGCCGGGGCATGGAAATGAATTGCTGTGTGGGTCTTTGTGTGTGTGTGAGAGAATGTAAGCTCATTTGGTTCCTTTTTTTTTTTTTTTTTTTACTCATGAGAATATAGTAGTAGTAGGTCGATTCCTGCCCTATTCTGGCCATAGCAGACCAGAAAGTAGCCAGACAACACGCCTCTCATCTGACAGGGGCAGAGGGCTTCTCCTCCCCTCAGATCTGCCTGCTGCTGAATGACAAACTAATACTTTTGAGCAGTACTGGAGCAGAGGATGCAGTCACAGAGACCCATGCTCATCCCTCAACAAACACACTCACAAATGTGCCTCTTAACCGTTCTTTTTATCTCTGTCTGCTGTGAACCTGCAGGATGACTGACAAAGCCCCCGGTGATCTCTTTTCTGCTTCCCTAGAGGGTAATTAGATCTTCATGTGCGTGCATGTAATTTTATGTTCATGCACAGTAGCATTTGAGGATTTGTGGCCATTAATGCAGCAAGTGAAGAAGTCAAAAGAAATTGACATTTTCCCATTCCAATTCCCTTTGTTGCTCTGTAATATGCAGGAACACAATGCACTCTGATGGATCGTCTGGTCTGTCCTCTTCAAAGTGTGTACAAGTTTATGTGCATGTGAATGTGTAAGAGAAGAAGGTTTGGCACAGGAAGAAAGGTAGAGTACTGGATATTTGACTGCTTTATTCTGTGATTGATAGAGTAACCATGGCAAAGAGCTTGTCTTAAGGGGGGAACGGAAGCATGAAGAAGCAGAGGTACATTTCCATTCATTGGCCTTGGCCCTTTCTCTCTCTCTCACTCTTATGCCACTCCATCGCTCACACTCTTTTTCTCTACACCTCTGCTTCAGATTTCAACTGGAGCATGGAGTTACACAGTCCGGTAGTAACAATAATGTGATTTATCATATTTCCTTGTTGCCGTCAACAGAACTACTGAAGTATGTTATCGCCTCTTTGATCAAAGGCAGTGTGTGTGTGTGTGTCGGTGTGTGTCGGTGTGTCAATGTACCCCTAGCGCCATTGTAGCAATTTTCAAACTGAAAGTATTTCTCACAAGAGCTGGTGATATAGCGCTCCAAAACAAGTGGCCACATCTTATGAGAAACACCCCTGTTTACGTTCATGAGCGTACACACCCACCCCACGCTACACACTCACACACACTCCATGCTCTGGGTGGCGATTGTTTGGTACATGGTGGACCACCCTGGTGATTGAATATACCCTCAGAGCAGGGCAGATGCGATCAACAGTCAGGTGTGTTTTTCTGCCATGAATGGTGAAATGAGCTAGTCAGACAAAGCTGCACAGGAGCAGACTGAGGAGAGATGACTTGATACATTTCACTACGGAGGATTCCATTGTCTCAAAGTAAAAGAAAAAAAAAACTCTATGGAAAAAGTTTCTGGCCTGTTGCTGGAGCATGAAATTGCATGCAGGTACACAGTGCATAACCATGCAGGGAAAGGCATGTAAACAAACATTGTTGCTCTTGAGAGGGGTGTTTTTAAAGAATCTCTCCTTTACATATACACTCACAGACACACAAAAATCTATCCACAAAAAAACGTACCCTGAGATCCCCACCCCCCAACTTCCTCCTTGGCTCTGTCTGTCTATCTCTCTTTCACTCGCCTGCCAATCCCTTTGTACCTCTCTCAGATTGAGACGCTTACCAAACAAACAGCCAATAATGGCGGTAAGCTCTGCACCTTTGAAGGTGGCTTATCTGTGAGCAGCATTAGAGTAATAGATCTTTAGTGGAAATCAACAACCATAGCCTTGCCCAGAGGGCAGGACTTGTGCATTAGTGCTGCTTGAGCCACACCTTGGCTGTCTTTTACAGTAACTATCACAGTAATGTCTTCAGTTGGATTCAGCCAGTCTGATCCTCTCCGCTTAGCTCTTTGAAACAGTTAAGGCCATGATGAAAGGTGATCTTTTATCCAACACAATACAACTGGTAGTCAAAGCTCGGGCACCGCCTTGAAGAGGGTCTAAATGGTTGTGTGCTGTAGAGTGTGTGA